ACATAACTGAGCGAATGACACTTAATGACAGTTGTCATAAACATGCATAAAACCTCCTTCATATTCATGACATGTCATGATTATGAAGGCGTCATGTCAGTCTTATGCACACCCCTTCAAGTAAAGTGTTACCAATGTGTTTATGTATACATATTCTGTTTATGTATATACTGTATTCTATACTGTATATAGTAACAGTCAAAAGTTTGGACACACGAATGGGAAAATGTCCAAACTTTTGACTGGTACTGTACTATAATATACACAAAGAATATCGGCCGATATATTGAGCTATATATCAGCCTTTTTTACGCCCTAATATCGGTATCGGCCCCCCACAAAAAACCATATCGGTCGGGCTCTAGCAAGGACATCATTAAAATAATCCATGTGACATCAGGGGTTCAACTGTAATTTTACGAAGCTACGAGATTACTTTTTGTGTGCAAAGAAAAAAAAAAGACTTTATTCAACAATTCATCATCTCTGTGTCACTCTGGCACCAGTTTGGAGAGTATCACATACGTAAACAATGTATGCTGTTCTGTGTCAGCTGCACCACGCGGGATGCACCTGACACAGAACAGCATAAGTTGTTTATGTTCAGTGAATACTCTCCAAAATGGAGCCAGGGTGACGTGGAGGAGACAAATTGTTGAATAAAGTTGTTGTTGTTATTTTCTTTGCGCACAAAAAGTATTCTCGTAGCTTCGGAAAGTAAGTACTTCGGAAGTAAAAACTGTTTGCACTACAAACCAGTGTGTTCATAATTAAGATAATAGATTAAAATAATATGGTAAGACACACCAATTTGCAATATCAAGCAGCAAAACAAGCTTTTTTTGTACAGCTAAAAATAGCTGGAAGAGAATGAGAACCGGAAGCAAAACCCATAAAATTTAGAAAAGGCCATGCCCATTTTTACAGGAAGAATAAGGTGGATAATAAAATTAGTTGTTTTTTTGCTTATGTTAATGCATTGACCAGTGTTAACTAATGGAACCTTATTGTAAAATGTTACCATATTTAGTTAAATGCAGATTAACCAAAATAATATCATGTTGTTTGGGAAACTACAGTTTCAAAGAAACTTCCCCAATAGCAACATTACTCACTTTAAAACACTGTTTAGGCCTTGTGGTGTGTCTAAACTAGATAAAGCATCACAAAAGCATCAATCATCAATAAAAATGAACAAAGTGAAATGCTGCACAAAAATGGCAAATTTATTTAAAATAAAGTTGTGAGGAGCAAGATTTTGGACCAATGAGATTTGACATTGGGTGGAGCTACCATGCAGCATAAAAACAGAAAATAAAATCCATTCAGCTGATGCATTGTTTTCATTATTGTCACTTTATTACATTTTGTCGTCTCAGAGCATATTGCAACATTGAAAAGGCAATTAAATATGTGGAAATGAAAAGAATCCCAGTTATGTTCCTCCTGACTTTCTTTGCTCTGCAGTCAGTTGGTTTCATTCTCTGTATCTTTTCCCATAAGTTCCACACTCTGCTTACCAGAGAAATGCCATTCAGATTCAGTCCCGAGGATAGAATGGATCAATAGGGCTTACATGCCCCTCTCACTTTCCAGCACAGAGGAGTCGTAACTGTGCAGCTTTCAAACACAATCCACACGTTCCATTCCCATGCCTCCTCTGAGGATTAAATGCTAACAGACCCTGCCAAACACACTCCAATCTATGGCAAAACATACATGGAATTCCTCTCACGTGTCTGTGTACACAAACACATGTTACTGTAGTTATGCATAAATGTCTGTTGATCAGAGCGGCTTTTGAATTTCCTATCACGTGTGTTTTCCTGATCAGAACAGGGGTGTGGAGGGTCGCTCGGTTGTGGTGCAGGAGTGCAGGCTGCTGGTTGGGGTCCATAACGGCTGGGGTTGGGTGGAGAAGCCTCATTTTTAGACCTTGTTCTTTTATTCTTACTTTGTAAAGAAACACAGCAGCTTTGAGGTTTTTCCAAAACATCTTACTTTGTATTCCATCCAAGAACAAAAGCATTTCTGTTGAGCTCAGACTTTTCATTTTTGGGTGAATTATTCCTTTAATATAAACACTGTCAAAGAGTTCCAGTGTCTCACATGGCCTCCTCCAGTTTAATGCTCCATCTGTCCTGTTTCAGTGACTTGAACTCTCAAAGCCACACTGGTTGTCCTCCCTAGTACTTACCCAGCAGAGATCCCCTCGTCCTCACCTCACCTCGTTGTTTTTCGTCCCAGTTCCATCTCTTTTTTTCAACACAGTCCTTATCAAATATGGATTTTTAGGGTGATTTACACACTTACTCACTGGATGTTAAATATTTTAAAAGCATCTTCTCCAGAAAGTATTAAAAAAAGTTCCGCTTTCTAAATTAAGGTTTCTCATGTCTGCACTCTTCGTTTAATTAAAATGCTGATAAGCTGTCGCTGTACAACGCAAATGAGAAATGAGGCTTTGATTGTTGATGTCTGCTTCACTCCATCTGCTGCGGAAAAAAAGAAGAGCCCTGCCCCCCACCGCCACAGAGTCACTGCCATGTGAGATCTCGCAGAACAAGTCACAAGCATCGTTCCTGTGCGGTGAGAGAAAGAGGTCTATAATTACCCAATGAGAGAAATTAGGTGTCTGAGAGAGTGGAGCATCACATTCTGCCCTTTTATAAGAGAGAGAAATTGGGTGTAATTATGGAGAGGTTAGCACTAAAAACTTATGCTGCACGTTCTCAACAACACTGCTGTGATGACGGCAGCGAATGTGTCTATGAGAGCGTGTTAAAACCCGTCAAGAATGATGCAAACGATCTGACGCCGACCTGTCAGTTTCTAGATGAGATGTTGGCATGAAACCAGTGCCTGGAATTTCAACACCTTGTAGTAACACTGTCTCAAACTAACTTTTTTTGAGCCTGTTTCAATTATAACTTCATTCTTTGTCTTCCTGTATGGAAAAAGCGATGTGAACTTCATTTTGAAGTTTTAATATTTTTTTGTACCGTGCTGTGCTCATCTAAGATGCTGTGTACTTTTCCTCTGTAGTCTGTACCTGCTTATGTAATAATCTGCAATCATTTTTAATGGCTTTTTTGAGATTCGGAATCAGACTAAAAGAACAATAATATGATGACTACAGAATGCGTCATAGCAAAAACAAAACAAAAAAGAAATATAAATGCAATTTGAGCGACTTGTTCCATGTTAGAACTATAATAGTTTCATTCTAATGTTGCACAAGTATTAAACTCAGAAGAGAGAAACTAACTTTTTTTAGCTTAAAACTTTTAGTTCCTGCTAAATCGCTGTTCTTTCTCCTTCAGCTCTGTATGAGTTTCCAAACCCCATTTGTCAAGCTATTGTGGCAGAGCTGTTTTCTTCCTAGAATTTTAATTTCTAGAATTTCTTTATAAATTGCATAAATTACCATTCAAAGTTTCAGTCTACAAATTTTTTAAATGTTTTTGAAACAAGTCTCTAATGCTCGTTAAAGCTGCATTTACAATATTTGATCAAAAATGCTGAAAAAAGCAGTAGTATTGTGAAATACTGTTTTCCATTTTAATACATTTTATTGCTGTAATTCGAATTTTCAGCAGCCAGTCTTCGGTGTCACATGATTCTTCTGAAATAATTATAATCTGATAATATGGTGCTTAAGACATATTTCTTATTATTTGTATTATATGCTGAAAACACTTCTGCTGCTTAATATTTGTTGAAACCGTGATAATAAAAGTATTTATTTATTAAAAAATAAATAAAACTAACCCCAAACTTTTGAATTGTATGTATGTGTACGTATATATACATCTCAATGAAATAATGTTTCCAGTTAACAGCTGGAAAAATCATGGAAATTCGTTTTTTTCCCCCCACTTCAGTATGCAATGCACGATGGGATTGTCCTTTCCAAACTCATAAAGCAGTGAACTGAGACACCTGCATTAATGAATGTCACTTGACTAGTTGTGTTTTTGGGTCAGTGTGGGTGTGTAGGTTCATTACACAAGATTCCATGCCGAGCTGTGATATTTCAGTGATCTCACACTCTTCTTTCTGCCTCCTTCAGTGATGGACTGTCTCTTCGTGGCAGTGTGGAGCTGAAGATGATGAGGGACATGGCTTTCAGCATCGTCTTCCAGCTCCAGTATGTTCTCTCTTGTCCACTGGCTGGAGATGGGCAGGTGAGTCATATGCTAATGATGCACCTCTCAACATTCTTTCTTGATTTCACTCAGGTGAATATAATATGAGGAGTGAAAATCTTGTTTAATGGTACTTTCACTTTTTATTTTTTCAAGGTAGACATTTGAGGAATTTTGCTTATGAAACCGTTCCAAAAATAATTTGGGAGGACCAGACTGTTTACTTGTGTTTACCTGCAGTCTGCAGGCACAGAATCACTAGCAGCTGTTGAAATGTGTGGGAGGAAGTTTCCCTTGATTGATCAGCCCACTCTGAAATATAGCGTATTGTTTTTTTTAAAACTCCTGACCAGTGTTGGGGGTAACTCATTACAAGTAATGCGAGTTACGTAATCAGATTACTTTTTTCAAGTAACTAATAAAGTAACGCATTACTTTTTTAATTTACAAGAAAATATCTGAGTTACTTTTTTAAAAAAGTAATGCCAGTTACTTTGTTTTCCCATTTATTGACTGACAGCTCTCCTGTCCCCATATTGGGAGAAATCGGGAGTACAGAGGCGTTGTGTGCGCTGTGTGAACATGATGTTACTGTAGTTCTAGACTAAATGTGAATGTGCATTAATTCATCCCACTCACAAAAAACTGATTTAGTATTCATCAAAATGAATTAAAACAGTGAAATGCAAACTCAGAATATGACGCAAATCTGCAATAATTAAATATGTTAAATAACACAAATGTATCTAATCCCATTTTATTAACCAATATCTTTGCTGCTGTCCTTTGCTGATCCAGTTCAACCATACTAATAAGCAAAAATTACTTTAGAGAAACTAACAATTGTGCTTTGTTTTTTTATTGCTGAAGAGTGTTTCTTCTCCTGCGTTCTACTGTACAGACGTGAATTTACGTTTGCTTCAGCCTGAGGTTTATTCATTACACTTTTTGATGTGAAAGGGCTTTTATATTTGATATAAATAGAACTTCTTATATTAAAAATAATCAAGCCCTGCTTATATTTAAAAAGTAACGCGAAAGTAACGCAAAAGTAATGTAACGCATTACTTTCCATAAAAAGTAACTAAGTAACGTAATTAGTTACTTTTTTAGGGAGTAATGCAATTTTGTAATGCATTACTTTTAAAAGTAACTTTCCCCAACACTGCTCCTGACCCGGACCTGGGTATGTCTGAAAATTTCGGCCAGGATCTTTGGGATGACATTGTATTAGTCGAGCCCACCAAAATATGATTTTTATTTCCTGACCTGCCTCGGAGAAACTGCACTAATAAGTCCTGTAACCCTTGTGTATTATGCATTATGAACATATTCATCATCATTTCCATCATCATACACATGCTCTTCATAATATTAAATGGAAACTAAATCAATCTTTTCAGGCTGTTTATATGATAAGAAGAGGTCAGGAAATGTGTTGTGATTGGTCGTTTGTGTTGCTCCCCTTTTTTAAATTTTTTTTTTTTGATTTTTGGCGTTTTCGCCTTTATTATGACTACAGTGTAGAGATGACAGGAAACAAAGTGGTAGAGAGAGAAGGGGGCAGGAGGATCGGGAAAGGTCCTCGAGCCAGGATTCAAACTCGTGACACCTGTAGCGCAACGGCGCTGTATGTTGACGTGCTGCCCACAAGGATGATGCAGCTGACTTTGTTGTTTCTTTTGATTGTGTACTTGAGTGTAAAGGCGATTGTGATTTTGCTAACTAGAATGTGGCCATTTTTGTAATATTAAGACATACTATATATACGGTATATATGCACTACTGTTCAAAAGTATGGAGTCAGTAAGATTTTTACAGATGTTTTTGAAACAAGTCTCTTATGCTGACCAAGGCTGCGTTAATTTAATCAAAAATAGTACAAACAATAAAAATGTGAAATATTATTACAATTAAAAATACTGTTTTCTATTTTTATATGTTTTGAAATATAATATATTCCTGTGATGGTGAAGCTGAATATTCAGCAGCGATTGATTCAGTCTTCAGTGTCACACGATCCTTCAGAAATCATTATACTGATTTTGTGTGCAAGAAATATTTTTAATGTTGATAACAGCTGTACTGCTTAATTTTTTTTATATTTCAACGATATTTTTAAAGATTTTTAATTAATAGAAGGTTCAAAATAATTTATTTGAAATTAAAATCTTTTTGTAACATTATAAAGGCTTTTACTGTTACTTTTTATAAATTGTATGTATCCCTTCTCTCTCTCTCTCTCTCTCTCTCTCTCTCTCTATAATATACACACATATACGTATTACTGACCCCAAACATTTGAATGTTTGGGGTCAGTAATGTCATGGAAAATGTCATATTCACCATTTTGGATATGCATTTTCCTAATAATGGACTTAAACTATATAGAATTTGCAGTTAGTGACTGCCTTGTTGCATCAAAACATTAAAAACAGTAGTTGTCGTTAGATACAGTAGTTCAGAAAGTTTGAGACCTCCAGTCCAGTGAAGTCCAGGGAACTTCTGCGACAAGACCCAACTATTGGACCCCCGAGTCCACAGGGATGGAGGAGAGTTTGCCTTTTCTGTTTAGAGCTCTTTCTAATTGAGAATGGATCTGAGAGATAACTCTCTCTGTCACACCCTCACTCTTTTGCTTTCTCCCCTCGCTCCTCTCTCTCTCTCTCTCTCTCTCTCTCTCGTATTGCCGTGTCTCTCATTGCCTCCCCCTGAGGAAATTAAACAGCCATCCTTGACCAGACATTCTCAGTAAATAAACATATTGGGTGGGGGGGAAGAGATCGGGGGGTAAAAAAAGGGAATCTCAGGTTCCAGGCAACAAGCACAGAAGCAATCCAATCAGGCTTTATTCATCCGCCCGTACCCCCGTCCTTTCGTTTCTTTGCTCAGGGCTCTAGTTCAATCTTAACACCCTCAGGATTAGCCCCCTCTAATGAAAATGTGCATCTTTAGTCTATCTAGAACGGTCTCAGCACACACGCGGTTGTCTGAAAATCCAATACGTCTCCAGGGTGCTTGTTTTTCTCTGCCAGGCAACACAGAAGGTTTTTAAAAACACTCGTCTCTACAGTTAAGTCATGAGAGATATTTCGCCAATTACATGTGTGGGCGGAATTGCCATAGCGCTCTATGGGACGGATGCTCTTCGTGACCGGCAATATAATTTTCCCCCTGTGAGGGTTAAAGTGTGGCCAATTAAAGCCTGTCAGAAAACAAGACGCAGTTCCGTAGGCATGTTAAATGCTAAACGCTCGCTATCTGGACTGAAGATGCTAGTTTCTAAAATTCTGGCTTAATTGGAACTGAGAACTCCTCACCATTTCAAATTGTTCACGAAGATGATATTTTCAAGTAATTATATGCAAGTGCGAAGCTTTTTTGGAAAGCGAGAATTTCTCTAACTGTCGAGGCTCCTGGTTGAAGAGACAGGCAGAAGTGTTGGACAGGTATCACCTCACATAATCTGCGGTCTCAAACTGTGCTGAGTTTGAATTCGAGAATTTGAGAGTGTGTGTGTGTGTAAATTCCTAATGACGTTTGAGATGACGTGTGTGTGAGCGAGAGAGGGAAAACAGACAGGGTGAGAGAGGGAGACAGACAGAGAGGGATGGAGTAATAGTGTTATAGGAGTATTTATAGAGCATGTTGAAGGAAGGTGTCTGGAAAGTCATCATAGTGACTAATAAAGGTGGAACGAGACTCGACCTCCTGAAGATAGAATGACCTGCCTTGCAGCGGTGTTAAAGAGAAAGATTTTTCTTTACATTTTAACAGCTAATGGGTTGAGAACATAGGCTTTTCTCGCCTCTGGTGTGTCCTTGATTGTCTGTAATTACTAGGCAGCTCTCTGGAATACTTAATTCTGGTTAGTCAGTCGTTACCTGCAGTCATATTTTTATATAATGACTTTTAAACGGTATATTTGACCGTTGTCCCAGGTAACTGTTTTGTATCTCTTGTAAACTCTGTGGTCTTTCTTCTCAAATATTGTAATAATTTCAGCTCAAATTCATATTTAATGTCCATTTATTTGTTTGGCAAGCAGGATAATGTACTATTTTTCGTAATTTGTCCTTAGCATTGTCATTATCACTTTGTCTTTAATAATTAAGTGTTAACACTGTCATTATCATAATTATTATTAATAATAATATATATCATTTTCATGTATTATATATTGTCTGAAACCACACTGAACAAACATATGAAATTTAATTTAAAACTAGAAAAAAGTCTTGGGATTTAGAAAAATGTATGTTTACTTGTACAAAATTTAAAAATGTTTTATATATACTGTATATAAAAACTTCATAATATATAAATACGAATTATACGCTATATTATTTAAGTAGCATGAAAGTTAGATTAGTTTAGAGCTTCTAAATAATTATTTTCACGACATGGTGGCGGCGGAAACAACAATACTACAGCAAGAATAAAAGTTACGCCTTCTTTCTTTGCGTGAACATTTGGGCGGCGTTATGCAAATCTTCCCACATAGTGATGTAGATATGTGGGGGCGTGTTAGAACGAGCCGTTTTAGGTAGGCATGGCTTACTCTTAACTTTTATAAAGAATATCTCTTTGGATTTGAGACTTTAGTCTTTGCAACTTTACAGATCTTCTTTATGCACCAAGAGCTTGTAACACTCCAAAGAGAAAGGAAAAATTGAAATCGCAACATATGACCCCTTTAAATATTTATAATTAATTTACTTTTGTCCTCAATGTAATGAGTATGTTTATTTATGATAATAACCATAAAACAACCATTAAAAAATTATAATGCTCTCTCTCATTCCTCTGTGATCTACAGGTGTGCTACTTTTCTGCATGGGTGCACTGTGATTCCCTATTAATCGGTTTATAATGGATCATGATGGCCTTAATGCTGTTTATTTTTTCCTTTCTCCTGGAGTCATAAGACAGAATAGATCCTGCGTTTACTTTTTCACCAGTAGGTGGAGCTGTGTAACTCATAAACCGGCTTAGAAAGAGAGCTGAGTGAACAGTGTTGCAATCATACTGTGTTGACC